AATTCACAATTAGTCTTTCTGCACAGTTTTATTGCTACAATATTTCTGTTTTTCAGAGTATTTTCACAACATTCTTATCTTAGCAATACTGCACTTGTGTTTTTCCAGGCTGCTACTTACCAATAAATTCTCAGTTTAGTTAAGGGTTTAAAAATAATTGGAATATTTCTGCTTGAACATGGAATTATCTAGGTGACTTTTAGAAGTATTGATACAATTCCTGTCATGCTTGTTCACAGGATATATTGATTGAGGAAATTGTAATTGTACATGCAGCTATTCTTTGTGCCACTGCAGGTAGAACAATGTCATAATGAAAGTGGAGACCCTCCACAAGTTGAGAAAGGGAGACATAAAAATGAGCTTTTCATTGTCAGCTATGATAATTGATCAACAGTGGTATTATGCACAAGCAGAATCAATGTTGTCGTGCAAAAGGTTTATATATATTGTGCATAAGGACACATAGCAAAAATCATATTTTTTGTAATCTGGCATAATTGTCATGAATGCCAAAGTTGTTTGTCAAAGCTAATAACATAGAAAATTGTTTTTGTGTGTGCATTTTAAGTCTGTTTTATGTTGTGTTCTATACACCAAGCTGTACACAGGAAAAATCTTTCTATAAATACTGTTCTCAAGAGTGTGAAAGGCCACCTTCTGGAAGTCGTTTTTTTTAAAAAAAAAAATCAAGGAAGCAAGAACTCCGGAACTAGAAAAATGAAAATTTCCTTCTTATTCTTTTTTTAAAAACCTTATTGTTTTGAGCAAAGAATTCTCATAGTTCTTTAAAATTTCAAAAAGAAAAAGAACATTTACCAAGACTAAGTTATCTAGGTGTGGTTTGTAATTGTTGCCTTTCCATTGAAGGGAGAAATAGCAAACTGAAAAATTAGATGGCTCAGGATGCTTTTCAGCTTTTTGAAGCAGTTTAAAAGGATTTGAACAGGATGATTTGAGCAGTCAGGACAAAGGGCGATGGAATATTACTTGACTCAAATCTGTACTGCAATTAGTCACTTTTCCTTGCAATAATTATTGTGAATGGACATTAAGGTGACATATCTTTCATTTTTCCTCATAGCAAAAAATTCAGATGTTGCTTTTTTTCTTACATTATAAGCAATACATGCAGTATTGCTCAAGGGCCTTTATCCCCTTCTAGGTGATGCAATTGGAGGATCAGGAACTATGAACACAGCACCTGTTTGTTTTTTAAAGGCCTGCATCTTTAAACCAACTGCACAGTCCCAAGAAGAGATGCAGAGTTGCAAACAGGTGCAGTATTCATTGACTACACAAAAGCCTTTGACTGTGTTGACCAAGATAAGCTTTGGAACTGCCTCAAAGAACTGGAATATCATTACACCATATTCAGCTCATTCAGTCATTGTCCTCTGAAGCCACTGTAGAAATGGAATATAAAGACACAAAATGATTCAGAATTGGAAAAGACACTTGACGAGGTTGAATCCTGTCACCTATCTTATTCAACATGTACACATCAGTAGTTATGAGAAATGCACATTTGGAGAACCTATCGTTGGATGTAAAATCAATGGTACGAATATCAACAACTTCCAATCAGATGATACAACATTGCTTGCGGAAAGTGAGGACAATCTGAGTGGCTAATTCTGAGAGTCAAAATGAAAGTGAAAAATTTAGACTGCACCTTAACCTCAAGAAAACAAAAACAATGACAATTGCAGAAAACACACAGGTCAGAATACATATTAGTTAGACCATCAAAAAGGTAAAGAAAGTCATCCTCCTGGGCTCTAAAATCAAATAGCAAGTGGAAGAACTGCAATGTCTGGTATGAATAACATCTGGAAGAATAAAGACATCAGCTTCACATCAAATGAAAATTTGTCAACACAAAATATTTTCTAATTGCTACTTGTGGCTGTGAAATCTGGACTCTTAAAAAAGGCAGATAGGAGAAGGGTAGACAACTTCGAACTAGGGTGCTAGAGGTGACTATTTTACACATCCCATTGACTGCAAAAATAACAAGTCTAGACTGAAACTCGCCATAAATATCACTTGAAGCCAAGATCACCAAACAGAGGCTGTTATACTTTGGTCATGTCATGAGATCTGCTGACTCACTTGAAAGCCAATCATGCTGGGAGAGATCAGCGGAAAAAGAAGAACCCCCTGGCTGAACACTGTAAAGGATGATACCGGGATTACCATGGCAGATCTGAAGGAGATGGTACAAGACAGAGGGATGTGGAGAGTGCAGATCCATAGAGTGGCCAAGTGTTGGGCAGGACTGAATGGCTGACGATGGCTGTATTTGCTCTTCCTTGTGTTTCAGTGGATCTTTTTGGAACCAAATCTAAATAGATCTTTGTGGAATCAAATCAAAACCAAATTGTGTTAATTACTACTCTATACATAAATAAGTATATACATACGCTGCCTTGGTAGTGCTGCTGAGTTAACTGAAGTGGGTCCTTGTGATGAAGAACTTTTTCAGTGTTGATAATTTGTATCTACAGAAGTTAACAGGAATTCAATAAATAAATAAATAAATTTTACAAAACCCATCCAAAGTTTAATTCTTTGCATTTTTAGTAATTTCAGATGACTATATAGCATTTAATATTCAACAAAGGCAGATTTCCTTCAAATAACAGTTAAATAGTAACATGAAGGTTAATTTATTTTAAAAAGCTAGGAAAACTGCTAGTTTTACTATGGTGAGGCAGTAGTTTTAAGACATTCAGTGCTAACTTTTGTGAATTAAATTATATTCCTCTAGTCTTCTAGTTATAATCTTAGGATTATTGCCTGCATATATACTTCAAAGTCATTTTCATGTCAATATGTATAGCAGATGAACAATTTGTTGATTTATAAATTTTCATGAAATTAATATTATTTATAGAATAACAATAGGTGATGCATATAGGCAGAACCAGATAGGATCCTTGTGTTCTTTTGTTTATCTATTATTGCAAGGAACCAAATTTAATTATTTCAGCATATTCATATAAACTTTGAAGCTAATGTCCTGTTATTTTTAAGTTTAAACACAGTATTTGATTACAGTTGCAAAGAAGAGAAACAAGATATGTAAATCAAAACAAAATATTGAAATGATAAAAATCAGCTTTAATTTACAAATATACTGTTTTTATCTTGCCAAAAGCTGTGTGTCTTTTTATAAAAAAAATTACACACACACACACACCTTACTATAGGAACATAATTTAAAATATTAAGTTTAATACCAACTTAAATCAATTCACTGGACAAATATTTTAACTGTGGCTTTTGCTTCTAAAGTCATCAATGAGGAATATCATTTCTGTAACCTAGTAGAAAGTGGCACAGCACTGTGTAAGTTATTTTACTAATGATATCTGCTGTGTTTAGTATACTGAATGTGCTTAGCTCAATTGATATCTTGCAATAGTCTGCCCAAATCTTAAACATCACTTTGTCAAAATGCAACTGCTATAATATGGAAATTCTGAGAAAGTGTAATTCTTTATAAAAAGGCTGATCTTTTATATTGCCTCTAAGGGAAAAAAAATATTAGAAATAAGAGCTATTAGGATTTGTTTTGTTTTCTTATTATGGTATATCTTAATGTGCTAATGTTTCACTGAATTGTTATGTAAAATTGTTCCTAATATGTAAAGTAGTCATCCTGTAATAAGCAGTAGTAAAACAATATAAAGGCTTCACAAAAACACCATAATCGTAAATCATGGGACATTAAAAACATTGACAAATGAAGTTGAAATCAGGAGCTAATAAAACATTAAAATAATAGCAGCAATAGATAAATCACTTATTTCTGCATTAGCAAATACAGACTGGGAAGGAAACTTCAAATGGAAACTTGATGTGCATATTAAAAACATTTTCATATGTTATTTGAATTACATTTGAAAGTATAAGTTTTCTTACATTTTGAAAACAAAGCTTTACATATTATAAAAAGAGATGGCTATGCTTTTATGATTCAGGATAATGTGCCTATCCAAAATAATTCTATTATATTAGGAATAATTATACAAGTAGGACTAAAATATTCTTTCATAATCACAAAATAGCCAGTCATCAGCAAAGACTGAAAGCATAAGCAACTCAAAATAGTTGCCTCTATAAAGTTCAAAGCCTTTATTGTCATTGTACATCATGTATATAACGAAATTGGTTTAGCCTCTAGTGGTGCAATCCATAAAGTTGTAATAGGCAGCTTCTCTTGTGTATGAATATGAATTCTTCTGAATCCATAGGAGCATCTACTTTCTTGTGACATAGCATAGAAAGTACCAATTACTATAAAGCACAAACATTTGGCCCATATTAGAATAATTCATCTGAATATTAACATTAGGCTGAAACAGTTCTATGCTTTGGTTGTACTTTGATACTCATTAGAATATTGAAATGAGGATTCCTGGACCAATTCCACATCCTGGTAACACATTGTTCAGTTTACATACAGTGTGGGGCTGTCTCTGAAAACAATAGCGAAACAGTCATTGGGAATGTTCTGAATAGAAAACTGTGTTTTAGAGCAGAGCTAGATTAAGGAAACATATATTAAAATAGCTGCACAGACCATTGCTTTGTTTCCGAACATAACTCAGAATGTTGATACTAAATATGACACTAGATAAAAAGAGAAAATATGAAAGAGATAGAATGAAAATGGAAAAGCTAGAGGAATAGAAAGTACAAGTCCTATGTGGAAAAGTATTAGTTTAGGTTAATCTCATGTAACACAATCCCAGTGGATATAAGATATAGAAGCTGCTTGGAACAGAATTGTTTTATTAATTGCCTCTGAAATCTATGCAATTATGTTAATAGAAAGTATGAAAAGATAGGATGCAGAGAAAGAAGATAGAATAAAGAGAAAGAAAATGTAAAGGAGATATCATGTAAAAATAATTGCAGCAAAAATGAGGACTAAGATACTAAGTATGCATTTAATGTAAAATCACTTAATGGTTTTCTTTACATTTCAGGCACAAAATTCCCCAGAGGAAAAAATATTCCAAGTAATCAAAATAAACATTTTCCTAACAAAAAATCTGCAACTCACCTTGTATGAGTTATATATGCTGCCTACTAACCGGGGAAAAAAGCTGGAACAGAATTTGCAAGCAAGGAAAACAAGAAAGTTAGAATTGAATTTGGAGGATCTGGGCCTGGAAATGCCTCAGGTAAAAATACCCAATACATTATCTAAGCAATTTTAATACAGTTTCAAAAGCAAAATAACAGCTTAAAAGAATTGTATGTTATTTGATATCTACCAGTGTAGAATCATTCTTCCAAAAAAGAATGTACTTTGGTTGATTGCTTAAAAGAGGAATATATTCTTGAGAAAGAACTCCAAAGTAGAACAAACAATAAGGCCTGTGGAACTTGCTACCTCTTCTGACCATTATTATGAAAAAATAAATTTTATTACCAATAAAAGTAAGTTTAGATGGCTACTGTACACATTTATTTAATTTCAAATATTGTAGATAGGATGGAAATATGTAAATATCGCACCTTCTGCAAATCCATCATTTGTTTTAATCATTTTTATTGAATAGCAGTAGCTGGATTCACAGACACAAACAATGATGAGTTCAGAAAAATGCTAAACCAAACTCAACTAAATTGGCTTAGTACATCTAATGAAGTCAGCCAGAATCATAATACCCATGTATGTAGAAAATACTAAAAGGTTGTTAAATTCAAATGTTTATTCCTGATGCATTGTAAGAATGAAAAAAAAAAGATAGGGTGTTTGAAGGATTGGTATTTTTCTTTTGTTTTATAATAAAATTGAGAAATTTTAAATTCTAATGTTACTTTATTATAGCCCAGTGTGAGTGGAATGGACCCTCCATTTGGAGATGCCTTTCAAAGCCACATGTTTTCAGAACAGACTCTGATCAGCACAGATCTCTTGGCTAATAATTCTGACCCAGATTTCATGTATGAATTGGTAAGCTGCATTTATTTGTCTTTAATTGCATGAAGCATATTTCTTGCTCCTAAAGAAATTTAGGTGAAGCTACCCTTTGAAATCATAATATGTATATCCCATAACTTGATTTTATACTTCTATAAAAACTGTTCTAATTCTCACTTTTCTTAAATGTATGAGCTGTATTATAATGGGGGTGATATACAATGTGTATATATCTGTGAATAAGTATATGTATGTGTATTAGACTTTTATATGGTGGATACTAAAATTCATGAGAAGATTCCTTTGGATCAGACTAAAAGCCTTATCTGTTACCTCTGTCATGTGTACATCTTTAAATTATATCATATATGCTTTTATTCAGTTTTTTTTCTAAACCACATAGTTCCAAATGTATAGTTTTTGTTCTTTAGAGGATTAATTTAGACTTTTGATCACTTGGGATGATGACCATTTTAAACATATTCTAATATATTTAATATATAATTAAAAGAAAGCACTTCAGAATCTAAATATTATGGGATTAATTCAAGAAGGAATGGACTTCTTACCACTTTGTCTCTTGTTCTGATTCATTCAGTGTCATTGACAATGTCTTTCTGAGTTTTAAAGAAAGGAATAGTCTTTAAGATACTAAAACTGATGGGGTGTTCCTACTGGCAGGATTACTGCTTTAACTTTTGCTTTATACAATATGTCCTTCAAGGTGCATCTGATATTAATTATTAATTTCTTTTGGTCTTAGCTGGCCTGATGGGGTAAGAATCTAGATAGAAAATGTATTAACTGTTATTGATATGCTTATGTCTGTTTACTTTAATAGGACAGAGGAATGGATTGCCAACAGAGTTCCAGGGACAATCTTCTTTCTGTAGAGGACTGTAAAGAATTTGAGAACTTGGAGACTTTTACTGAGATTCTAGATACTGAAATGTCTTTCCCTGCTAATTGGGATCAGTGGGATACTTACTGTGAAGATTTAACAAAGTATACAAAATTAACCAGCTGTGACATTTGGGGAACAAAAGAGGTGGACTATTTGGGTCTTGATGATTTCTCAAGCCCATATCAAGATGAAGAGGTAATAAGTAAAACTCCAACTCTGGCTCAGCTCAACAGTGAGGACTCTCAGCCTGTTTCAGATCCACTATGCTATTCAGAGTTGCTGTTCAATGCAAAACAAACCCAACTAACTTCTCTGCCAAACAAGAAAATTGCAAGAGCAGCCGCCCCAGTTTGTTCATCAAAAACTGCTCAGGCTGAAGCACCTTTATCTGAGTTTGCTCAGAAAGCAAGTGAGGCCAATTCAAGCACACAAATCATGGTTAAGACCAATATGTACAGTAACGAGAAAGTGAATATTCACATTGAATGTAAGGATTATGTTAAAAAGGCAAAAGTGAAGATAAATCCAGTGCACCAGCACAGGTCCGCTCTGAACCAGGCAAATGCTGATGCTGCAAAAGAAAACACCTGCTACTGTGGAGCTGTAGCAAAGAGACAAGAGCAGAAAGGAATTGACCCCCTTCAGAATCACAGTGCTCCTGTATTGCCTTTCAAAGAGACTCAGGCTCTGCTCCTCACGCCGCCCCAGGAAACTCCAGGACTTATTGCTGAGAAGAGCAACCTCTCTGCTAGCACCTCAGTGTCAGATCCTTCACAGAAAAAAGAAGAGCATAATTACTCTCTTTTTGTCAGTGATGGCTCAGCTGATCATGCAGGGATAGCCGATCCTGATGAGGATGAGGATGACGAGGAAGAGGTGGAAGATGAAGATCATGATGAAGGCTTTGGAAGTGAGCATGAACTGTCCGAAAACGATGAAGAGGAGGATTATGAGGACGATAAAGATGATGACATCAGTGATACATTTTCTGAACCAGGTAATTAAACTCATGTGATCTAGATACAAACTATTAAACCACTCTTCTTGGAAATGCTTAACGTTCTTGAAAGCATTACACATTCTCAAATTGAAAATGTGTTTTTAGCCACATGAAATAACTTCTTGCTTAATGTAACCAAAGGAAGCACAGTCTAGACTGCAACAGTGTTCATTGTAATTTAATGTCTTGCACAACACTGATGAGGTTTGTTCATTTATTTATATTTCATATTTCTAAACCACCCATCTACCACAAAGAGAGAGGCCCTGAGCAATATCAACTAAATCATCAACAATATAGATATAAAAGAGCCTGTCATTCATTCAGAGGTGTAGGGATTTTTTACATTTTAGGAATGTTGAGATCTTATATGAAAATTTGATGGCCATGCTATATGATCTATATAGAAGTTTTTTCCAGAAAAAGTGTTTGTGATTTGATGAATAAATGTCACTGCTTCTTGTTGTCCATAAAGTAATTTATTATTCTTTCCATTGCATGGCCTAATATAAATAATTCATGGGTGTATAGCCCTCTGTCTAACATTCATTTCCTATGAGCATAAACAGACACAAAAGTACAAATGATTTCTGTAAAAAAAAAAAAAGCATATCTGGTCTGGGAAGCCAGGTGCATATTTTAATGAGATTAGAAAAATGCCTATTTAGGATAATTTGGAATTGTAAAATTTCACTCTTTGTTTAAAGTAGTGGTTGCCAATCCCCAGTCTGTGAACTGATACCATTCCGTGGCCTGTTGAGAACTGGGCTGCAAAAGCAGTGAGTGAGTGAGTGAAGATTCATCTGCACATGCGCAGGATCTAGATTGCATCCACCCCCTCCAGTCCATGGAAGACAATTTGTCTTCCGAAAAATTGGTCTTTGGAGCCAAAAAGATTGGGGACTGCTGTTTTAAAACATAATATTGGCACTAAAAATTATATGCATATAATATAATGTAATATAATATTACCCCGTAATTCTAATGCATACTTTTATCTGTTTGTGACTGCACTGTATATCTGTAATGAATCAGTGATCATTTTGACTTTCTGAAATCAAAGAAATAGAATGCCGATTTGAAGAGACCATTAGTTGAGGAGACAATACGGTAAAGAAATCCAGGCTCTGCTTATGAACAAAATACAATAGTTTAGAGATGCTCTGGAAAAGTCCTATGCCATCCGCCCAGTTTTGTCCATTAGTCATCTGATAAATTCTCTGTCAGCTATTAGGAGAAAAAAATTGAACACTGTCAGAAATTGAAGTTTAAAGTCTCATTTTCCCTTTATTCCAATTCTTTTTACCCTTACTTTTGATATACTCTCTTCTACCTATCTCTGATCAATTTGCTTTGGATAGGCTCTATAAAAATACAACTTTATAAATGTTTAGGTTTTGAAAATGATTCTGTAGAAGATTTGAAAGAAATGACTGCAATATCTTGTCGAAAAAGAGGCAAGCGGAGATACTTCTGGGAATATAGCGAACAACTGACACCATCACAGCAGGAGAGAATGTTAAGGCCTTCTGAGTGGAATCGAGAAACCTTACCAAGCAACATGTATCAGAAGAACGGATTACATCATGGTAAGAGCTGCTGTTTACAGGTGGCACTTGTAAAGTTTAAAGTTTTGTCAGAATTTCCTGCATCATTTAAATAAAATGTACAGGCATTTCAAACCTGTTTAATATGAGTTGGATTAACATTGTGTTGGGATTTGGAGGTATTGAAACGTGCATGAATATATGGTGGTAGTATTCTAAAATTTCCTCACCATAACTTTCTTTTAAATAAAATATGCAACTTTTATTCACCGTTCCATTAATTTATTGACGTAATTGGAGGAGGAGGAAGGAGTCATAAAACAATCTGCTTTTGTAACTTAGAAACATTTCTTCCCCATTTTTTGTATCATTTGTGACACTTCAGCAAAATTTGTTTTCATCTTCCTCTTTCCAGGAAATGCATTGTGGGTAGTCCTCAACTTACAGCTATAATCGAACCCAAACTTTCTGTTGCTAACTGGGACAGTTGTTAAGTGAGCTTTGTCCATTTTATGACATTTTTTGCCACACTTGTTAAGTGAATTATCATCATCATAGTAACATGATTGGTAAAGTGAATCTGTTTTCCCCATTGACTTTGCTTATCAGAAGGTTGCAAAAAGTGAACGTGCAACCCTGGGACACAGCAACCGTCGTACATATGAGCCAGTTGCCAAGTGTCCGAATTTTGATCGTGTGACCATGGGGATGCTGCAGTAGTTATAAGGTTAAAAAAGAGTGATGCCACTTTTTGCAGTGCTGTTGTAACTTCAAACGGTCATAAAATGAAAGGCTGTAAGTCAAGGGCTACTTGTAATCTGCGTTTGCAGACATTAAATTTGGTGAAAGAAATGATACTTTTTATGCTATTGGTTAGAGCGGTTGTCATTAGTTACATCAACATTTAATAAAAATGCTTTAAATGCATAATAATATAAAATAAATAGATATATTACTGATTTTCTGACTATACATCATGCACCTGCAGCATGATATTTATTTATTTTTGCCTAGTGTTACTTCTAACAAGCTTTGTAGGTTGTTTAAAGTCCATATAGACTTCTTAGTTGTATTATATGAGATATAGTGCTGGCAAATAAACACCAATGTATAATAAGCATTGTAACTTAAATGTGTATCTTCAAATTGAATGAAAATTTGCAACCTATTGATTACGATTGTATATATTTAAACAGGAAAATATGCTGTTAAAAAGTCACGAAGGACTGATGTAGAAGATCTGACACCAAACCCTAAAAAACTGCTACAAATTGGAAATGAACTTAGGAAACTGAATAAAGTAATTAGCGATTTGACCCCTGTCAGTGAACTTCCTTTAACAGCAAGACCAAGATCAAGGAAAGAAAAAAATAAACTGGCCTCTAGGTAACAATTTCCTGAATAAATATAGCATTAGCAATTGTTTGTTCTCTGTTTATGTTTTGTGTTTGTGTATGTATATGTATATGGATGTTCGGGTGTATACATGCATGTATATAAAATATAGAGAGAGATTGTTGTGAGCCACCGAGAGTTGGGTAGTATACAAACCTGATAAATTATTATTATATTCCTATTGACAAGGATTTGTAGACTGTTATATATTGAAAAAGGAAGTGTTATTCTGCAAGTGACACCTTTGTATCTGACAGCTTGGATAAGTCTAATCATATGCAAAAAATTGTTTATTATTTATTTAACAAATGTATATGGCAGCCCAACTCATGACCAAGGGCATTAAATTCTTCCTTCCTTCCTCAATTAAAATTCTGCCTTACTCTCTTGCCTCACACCTCTCCTAGCACATTGGAAGAGTCCCTGATCATAATTGCCTGCTGTGTATAGCCAGAATGCTTACATTTTAACTGTATTACTGAAACTTGTAATATTCTGGGATGGTAAGATGTTACCATTTTTTTTATAGTATTTTTTAAAGGTCATTTTTATTCCTATTTATGAGTGTGGGTTTTTAAGATTGTACTGTACATGTTTTAAATTGTATTATTTGCTAAAGGTCACTTAGTCTCTTGATTGTGATGGGATAGAAATATTTTTAATAAATAAATAATCACGGAGGAATCATTTTGTTAGCTAAAGGAGAAATGAGAGCTGGAATCAGGAATTATAGTCTGGGTGTTCTGCTTGGTAACATCTAATATTCTGAACCTCTGATTATTTGTGAACAGTCCAAACAACAGGAACAATATCTCACTTTCAGTTCTTTTTCTTCTCAATATCACAGGGCTTGCCGACTGAAAAAGAAAGCTCAGTATGAAGCCAACAAAGTTAAACTTTGGGGACTCAATACTGAATATGGTAAGTTTTTATAGAAGGAAAAAAAAAACAGCTGTCTTGTACTTGAAAGTAGGAGACCTTTATTAAATCTTTCAAGTATGTTGATTGATGAAATTGTCCATTTTGAAGTATGATAATTATCTGAAAGCTGGTCTATATGGGTTATTTACAAGTTATTCAATAAAGTTATTGTGGTTTTGTAAAGACATTAAAAGATTTAACAATCTGAAATGTTTGTCACATTGCTTGATGGGAAACTAGGAAGAAGGGAGCATGTAGTTTAGGGTGTCCCACAGAGACTTGTCTTGCATCCATTTGTTTCTTACATACAAATATTTTTTCTTTAAATGTTTTTTCTACCTTTCAACCTTTAGTCTACCTTTTTCCTGTATTACTTTTTATCAGTTCCGTCTTCAGTGTTTTCAGTAGTTTTATTAGTTATTTTATATAAATATGGACATTTCAGGTGGAAGAATGGTATAAAATTGCTTTTACATAACAGATGTATTCTTCCTTTTCAGAAAAATTGCAGTAAGGAGGACTTACATTGTTGCTTGGTCTCTCTGCAGATAACTTACTATTTGTGATCAATTCTATCAAGCAAGAAATTGTGAACAGAGTGCAGAGTCCTAAAGATGAGAGAGTAACAAATATGAGTCAGAAGCTTGATGTACTCGTTAAAGACACTCTTGGTAAGTGAACAACAAACACACTACTATTTATAAACAGTAAAAAATCAAATAGGGCTCCGGCTTTACTATTTCTAAATTTTGAAAATACTGATTTTAGTTATCTAATGTATGAAATGAATATGGCCATCCATCTCATAAAAGGGGACTTTGGATGGCAAATAGCAAAAAAAGTATTAAAACAATAAACATGTCAAGAATAAAAAAACAGAAGAGAGAGATTCGCTTAGCAATGGAGCCACCTCAAAACCTCCCTGGCTCCTTGAGAGCCCTATGTCAGTGTTCCCGAACCAGCAGCTTCCATGCTGCCAACCTGGACCTGATGAAAAAATCCAAGTCTTGAGGGACATCCAGAAAATAAAGGAGGGATGGAGCCGAATCACTTCAGTGGGGAGAACATTCCATAAGGAGGGAACACTTTCCTCTTCGGGCCTGTCAAATATAGGTAACGGAACCTGCAGCATGTCTCGCCAGATTTGATGGATGAGCGGATGTAATTGGTGGTAGAGCAGTCCCTCAAATAATCTGGCCCCATGTCATAAAGAGTTTTAAAAATCAAAATACAGCATCATCAGTTGGATCTGAAAGCAGACTGGCAACAATGCAGCTCGCAGAGCAGATAGTTAACATTTGTTTTAGTACACATAACTGCCCACGCTACTGCACTTTGCACCAGCTGAAGCTTCTGGATACTCTTTGAGGGTAGTCCCACCTATGTATAGTTTGTTACGGTAATCCAGTCCGAAAGTGATTAGGGCATGAATAACTGTGAGCACTGCCCCCCCCCCCCCCCGCATGATCCAGGAATGGATGTAACTGGTCAAAATATGAAGCTACAAGGCATAATCCTAGAACTGGCAGGCACCAAACTCTAAATGACTGTTTTGCTAGGGTTCAGGTAAGCCTGTTGTTCCGCATTCAGACCCCCATGCTACTAGAACCCAATCATAAGAATACACACACACAACACACACACACACACACACACCAGGCTGCTTTGACAAGCCAGTATCTTGCCAAAAGATACAAATGTGTATTTTGCATTTCATTCAAGAGATCAACAATTGCCAGTCTTAAAATTATTCTTTCTCTCTTCTGTCATTTACATTTGTATATACCGAGAGAGATTTTAATTTAAACTGATTTTAATTTAAACAAAGCTGAATAGAGGACACCAAAGTTAAGCTCTCTCCCTGTAGCGTGGTCTTATAATTTACTCACTGACTTTTTTATGTTTCTCTTTGGGTTGGATATATACCAGGCAAAACAAAAACCCTGCATATAAGAAATGATTTATGATTTCTTAATAAAAAATTGTATAGTGCTACACATAGATTTGACGGTTATAAATAATGTGTACTAAGATTTATCTGACCTCATTATTGACAAGCTTCAAGTTACCTAACAGTTGCAATCAGTTTCTTCTGTATTCTTCTCTGCAATGTTGCTGCCTACTCAGGTTTATCATGTATTACATGTATATATTCAGCTTGTTATTGTTTATTGGCCATCTTTTTAGACTATTCTGGGTGAGTGGAATCAGATTTCAAATGCTTTATATGAAAATACATTTGATCTTATTAACATTGGCACAACTTAAATTTATAAGGAATAAAGAGCAAGACACAATAAAGAAACATTAATTCTTAATAATATTCTGAAGATGTGTTTTTACTCATTTCTCTAGGACAGCCAGTATCTGGACAAACTTCAGAATTTGTGAACCAGGTTTTAGAAAAAACAGCAGAAGGAGATCCTACAGGAGGACTTGTTGGGCTGCGAATACCAACATCAAAAATTTAACAGACATCATTTTATGCCATCACACTGATCAGAGCTCTGCCTGCATCATGAACTACTACATTGTAGAATTAATTCTGGTCTGCATGTGAGTTTAGTGCTGTATAAAACACAGTTTTAAGTTCCATTATTTTTTTTTATTTTTTATTTTATAACAATGTAGTAAGGTAAGTGAAAGCATGATATGAAATGCTTAATGGCATTTTGGAGCATAAACCTTGTAGATCTAAACTTGCTTCTGGCATAAATGTAATGGCTACATGTTTATTTTAAAATTAAGTTTATCTAGGACCAGATTATATAACTTATGTAGGAGCAAAATATGTTTTTTGCAAAAGAAAAAATCTAGTAAAATGCCAAACATTTTGGCAGGTTTATGCTCTTAAGTTTAAAAAAAATGTAAACTCAAGGATTTTTTTTTTCAAAAATTGTTGCTTTTTTCTTCTAAATTAAACAATAAGTTTTCTTTGTAACCTAAATTGTAAATAGCACACTTAGCAATAAAGCTAGTGTGCCATATAAAAAAATATAATTTTCTGAGCTTGATACGGTATTTAAATGTCTGTGCAAGTAAGAAATAACGTATACTCTTTGTGCCTTGTATTGAATAGGGAGGGAGGGAAGGGGAAGAATAAACATGGAATAGTAAACATTTTGTAGGATGAAGAAACTCCTATGGGAGAGAAGATACATAGATGGTCTCATGGGTTTTAATGTATTTGTTCCAACTCTTACAAATTTTTGAATGTATATAGGAATATGTTGAAAATGTAGATATGCCACAGAGTCTATGTATTGTATAAAAGATGGCTCTAGAAAAATAATTTTCGGTACTTGGCCGGAAGAAAACAAATACTTGCACATTAATGCGATTGTTTATTTTTGTACCAAAGACAAATGCAACTGAAATGGCAAACTGCCAGTTTAAGTAAAGTTTTGCACAGCTTACATGATACTGTACTGAATGTATAAAAAGAAAAATAACTTAAAGGTCAGGGTTAGGGATCTTACTGAACTGTGAATTTCTTTCTCTCTTTGGGTCCAATTATCTACAGAAGGAGCATTCATACATTATTATTTTGCTGATCCTCTAGTTTGTTCATAGTAGATAAATTGGCCATCTAGAAGACTGTAAATCCTTTTTTGTTTTCTGCACTTATAGTAGAAATTTTAATATATTTGGATTTTAGTAAGCTATTGATAAAGCAGATTTCAACTTTGGGAATTAGAAAACTTAGCTTGTAGTATACTTCCAACCAACCAGAATATTATTAATTATTTTTATTGTAATATGTATATATGTAAAAAAAAGCCACAAATATTTAATTCCTTAGTTGCCACTTTTCCAATTGTATTATTGTGCATGTGATGTTTCCAAGAATCAACACAGGCGAGAGAAAAAAAAGAATTTCTAGATTTTATATTTTTGTACAGATATTTGAACTAGCTTCCTCAAACTTATACGTGACTTATTGTTAATTCATAGTTTCTATGATTGGGGGAATACAAATGTGTGTGCAGTTTGCCTCACAAGAGTTTGCTTTTAGTCAGTGTTAAAGTACCAATGAAAAGCTTTATCTCTTAAGGAGAGAGTTATTTTTGTTAAGACAGGATCATTATATGGTTTTGTGATTGCCTTTCCTCCCCCTTTTTTGATATAGATGACTACATAACACTGTTTACTAAAATACCAAATAATTTAGATGTAGCTCCAAGAAAATGCAAAAAGCTCATGGATTTCTCCCTCCTACCCTCCAATTCTTTACATACATTTTGTAATGCAGTTGTTGCATCTCAATGGATTATTCCTAAATGGAATCTAATACTCATTTTTTTAAGTTTGAAAGATTGGAAAATGCCAATATACCACTACAGAGTTGTACCATCCTACAGCTATTTTTCTTTTTATGTCTCTCAAATCACTGTTTATTGCCATTTACTTTACAAAAAAAAAAAAATCTGAAGTATTTTATAAGACGTCAGCAGAGATTTGCATGTCCTGATGGAGCAGAAGGATTTTTAAGATAAACTGCAGCTGAAATAACACTGGCAGCTCAGTTATGTGCCTGACTTAACACTTCTTGTGGAGCTTTTGTCTTCTGAATATTTTATACCCCATCTACCGTGATATACTGGAATAGTGTTGAGTTTCATTGGTAAATGGCATTTAAATACCGTTCATGCTAAGATTCTAATGCTGAATCAGAATAGCATGGAAAAGATATATTCTACAATAAAACGTAGCTGTTTTCTAATCAGGACTTATTTAGCAAGGTTATACTGACAGTAAGATAGGATATCCCCTTTGTAGCCCAGTTCTCTGAGCTAATACTGCTTTTGCAGCTTGTATGTGTGTGCGCGTGTGTATGCGTGCGTGCATGTCTGAAAACTGGTATGATTTTGTTCTAGCAATTAAAGAAAAGACTTTGAACCCTTTTAGTGGATTCCATTGCCCTTGCATTTCAGTGTTTTCTATGTATTAAGTTATAGTCAAAAAGCTTTTAAATAGTTGAGCTTTTTAATGGTGACACTTTATTTTGTATCTATTTATATATGTATGTATATCTTAGAAAAGCACTTTGTTTAAAAAAAGAAAAAAGATATTGCATTTTATATGATTCCTGCCATTTGCTGCTAACTCTGGGCTGGTCAGAATGCTGCAGCAATACTTGATCTAAATAAAACCTGGCGGTAAAATGTAGAGTAAAGTTAAGACCTTTGCTGGTTTAATCTTATTGTAAAGATGACATAGGCAAGCTGTGCAACTTTACATTTTAACCAGGAGACTCTGTGGCATTTAAAACAGTCTAGAAATGGTTGTACTTTTAATGCCAGTAACAATCTGCTTCCTCTAGTGTCATTAAATATACGTTTAGTGTATAATTATCACAAAGATTTTTAAAACCCAAATATTCATGTTTTGTTTGGGGAAATTGTGGCATGCATTTTTGGCTGATTATCTTTAGAAGAGTTCTAAAGGTTTTCAAACTTCATACATGGAATGTGGATCTTATTGAAGTCTTTGGTCATTTTCTAAGCGTAGATGTTGTGGGTATTCTAATGTCCCTCAAAAGCAATTAACCTTTTTTTTAAAGTCCTAAATTCTCTTTCATACACTGGATATTTTAGAGTTCATTTCCATTGAAAGCATGCTCTTGCTAAAAAATTGTCAGTCTGAAACTGAGTGCCACACTTCTATTTTTGAATGGCTATGATGAACTACTTGCTCTGTACCATGTATGGTTCTTGTCCTTTATCCACTTAACTCCATTGACAGATTATGATGTGGCTTTATATTGTGCCTTATTTGTATATTAGAACCAAGTTTATTTTTCATTCCCCAGGACTCCTTAAACCCTTTTAGAAGCAAACAACAATTAAAGCATAATAAAGGAACTTCAAATAGATCTGATTTAAAATTATATTAATAGTTTGTACTGGCATAGGGTGACCCATTTTTAGTGGTCTTGGAAAATAAGGTTTTTATAATAATTCCACTACATCTCAACAACAGCTTCTCTGCCTCTTTTATTGAACAAATCTTGGTATTTAATTTTCTGGGGCTCATTAGTACTAGTCCTTTGACTAGCTGAGGACTGGTCTTTTCATGCTATTGTGGCATCAGTGCAAACAGTGAAACTGTTGTAGGACATGGGCAAAGATATACATACTTCAGTAGTCTGGTTGGTAATTTATTTTTAAATTTAGGTTGAAATGTACTGGAGAAAGAGCAAAAACTATAACAGATTAAAGGTCTCTTAAACTTAAAAGCAACAGACATTTCTCAAATACCGTACTGTCAGTGTGAGTTTCACTTAAGTCTGTACCACTTTTCTGATGTTTGCCTTTGTTAATAAATCTGCTTGTTTATTCACAAATGTCAATAATTGATGTATGGTTTCTCTTACGTAAGTCTTATAAATATGAGTAGTTTTAAAGCATTAATATTCTCCTACTTGTTTTTCATGGGTTTTCTTACAAGTTGCCTTCAGCACAAATAGCATAGCCAGTCGGTTCCTTGACGTTTACCAGTCTTCCTGTTGAATTCTGTTGAGGCACAGTCACAAGCCACATTTGGGCTTTGAAGCCTGAATTTCACTCCTGTCTACTCATTGTTTTGTTTTGTTTTCAAAGTAAGGCTTTAGGTGTAAAATCATGTATTTTAGTCTCCTATCAGATGGAAAGCTCCATTTTGTATCACTGAAAACTGCGCTAAAATGCAGTGTCTTCAGCTTTTTATTTCGTTTTTATGTGAGCAAATTATATTTCAGTCAATTACTAATCCAATCTCTTTAATAAATCATGGCATGTAAGGGCATTACACAATACTTAGGTTATTTCCAGAGTAAACTGAATGCTTTGCAAATGGCACTTTAGCATATATTTCCTTCAAAGCATTCTAACTTGATTGGATCTCAGAGGTATACTGTTTAATTTTCCTCCATTATTTTGGGTGATAAGAGTGTTCATGCAGTGAAATGCTTAGCCTCTTAAGATGTTAGGAACTTCCATAAGAATATACTGGTCATTCCCTAATCCTAAGCAAACTTACATAAAAATATCCCATTTTACATGGAATTTACTACACTGTCGCATATAGGGCTGTAGCCTTAACTTTTTTCTAAAATAAAAAGTTTGAGCCTAAATTAAATCTGAGTAAAAAAGAAAAAAAACCCAAAATATGTTATATTAGGTAAACTGATCTAGTCTACCATTTTATCAGGAACTACAGTGGTATAAAGGCCATACCTCATCCCAATGCTGTAAATTGCCTCTTGGTATCAAAGTTCTAATCCAGTTCATCCAGGTATTGTTGGCATTTTTCATGTATTAAACATGTTTCTTTTAAACATGTTTTAAAATTTAATAGCTATAAAGTAAGTTAAATATCTATTGTTTAAGAGTTAAAAGTAACATTATTTTGATTTCCCATTGATTTCATTGGATCTGTCTTAAGTTCAGATTCAAACGTGTGCGAGCAATTAAAGTTTCAATATGGAAAGACTGAAGTTATTTCTAACTTTAAAACTTTTTTTAAAAAATCATTTCTAGCTTCTAAGAATGGAAATTTCTGCTGGAGCATACTGTTCTCACAGATGCAAAATAATATAACATTTAGCATTGGTTACTGTAGTATATTCTACAAATTAAGTTGTCCTACCTGAAATATACTGAAAATCTGATTAAGAATTAAGGCTGCAGTCTTAAACATTCTTATCTGGAAGTAGGTTTCACTGTATTATGGGATGCCTCTGTAAACCTGTTTAAGATTGGGGAGCAAATCTGCTAGTATATGCAAACACAGCAAAGTTTTTGAAAGGTAAAAATAGTACATTAAAAACTATTGTGACCTTCCTCTACCAGGATTATATTTGTAATGCTGTTAAATGTTCTGTGGTCCATTTCCAGCTGGAGCTCAGAGATATGTATTGAAGGTCTTGTCTCTGTTTAGAAAAAAAATATCCTGTTCAAAGCATGATCTGTTTGCAACTTTTATAATGTTTAATGTTGTGTATTTTTTCCTTTAAAAAAAAAAAGACACAATTAAAATATTGGTTTGTTTTTTTTTTCTGTCATCTTTGAGCCCAAGCATTTCTATTCACATACAAACTCATCAATGTATGCAACATCCTTTGTAATTGAAAATAAATTGTGAAGAGAAGTTCTGACATTGTGGTACATTTAGTGTGTTTATGTTTGTGATTTTTACCCATAGGTTGCTATCACAAAAACACCAGGGTTTTGTTTTGTTTTTTTCTTCGAATTCTTAGTACACTGAGAGCCTCAGTAAGTGCTGTACCGCAGGCCACTTCTGCTGACTTTTGGCTGTCTGCAGTTTGGCAGTTCAAATCCAACCAGGTTCAAAGTTGACTCAGCCTCCCACCCTTCCGAGGTGGGTAAAATGAGGACCCAGATTGTTGGGGGCAATAAGCTGATTTGTAAAACCGCTTAGAGAGGGTTGTTAAAGCACTATAAAGCAGTATATAAGTCTAAGTGCTATTGCTATATCTGTATTAAAATAGTTGATCTTCTAATAACCAACATATATTGCTTACACAGAGGAACACACACATACACACATGGCCAAAAAGCCATTCTGAATATGTTTTGGTAAAATGCACATATCTCCTACTTTGTGGGATGTGGGCAGAAGTATGTTGGTTTACAAAATCTGGATTAGAGACCCTATTTTCCATAGCAGAGCATGAGTGAACTTAAAAACTGGTCTTTAGTTCCACATTATAAAGCATGTCAGAAGTGACTGATATTTTCTTTACTGTGAGTCAGAAATGCTGCATATGATGAGCTAGGGTTAGACTACACTTTCTCTTACTAAAAAGTGTTATGTGAAAATTTCAATTGACCAATGCCATAATTGGCGATTGTGGAGATTGGTATCTACTGGATCGCCTTATAGAAATATCAAACTATTATAGTTTATACATAGTGATTCATAGCTTATGCAATCCCATACAATTATGATATATTTAGTAAACCAACTCATGAATTTGTGTAATATGTGATCTCAGTCACAGATTAGTTCATTTGACAATTGGGAGAATTACTGAAGGATGATTTGGACAGCAAAAATCCCCTAACTCAAATGCATCTTTCCAAGGAAACTAAATTGTCAGTTCGGTCATATAATATTTAGAAGACCAAGAAATGCTCAGAGGTAAGCAGAATTCTGGGAAAACAAAGGAAGAAATTATATGTATAAACTGCTATTCTTTCAACCTCTTGTCTTTGTAGTTCTGCCCCTTTGCCTCATAGTTAATTCCAATGGCTTAACTTTCCTCACTAGGCACATTATGTCTTACATTGATCAACTATTGTGTTGCTGAATACAACCTCATGTATACAACCTCTAATTTGCATAAATCAAGACTGTAATCCCTCCCCTCTTTAAGCCTGCCTTTGCCTCTAGCAAAATAATCAGTAAATCATTTTTTTTTCACTATAATTGTGTCCATCCATACCTCTGAGAAAGTCTTGGACAGTACCAATCCCTTTAGAAATCCCAGAAATAGAAACAATGGCAGAAGATAAATGAGGATGGGGCTATAATCTATATATGGCATGGTATGACCAAGTTAGAGTATGCATATGACTGCAGAATGATGAGTATTGACCTAACCTACACATTTTCTGATTTACTGAAAATTACTATATGAACGTTTCTATTAACTAGGGCATAATGTAATGGAGGACAGAATCCATGGGTTTGTTGGTTGAAAATTATGGCACATGGAAGACTGATTTAGAACCTAAGAGCACTAAATGCTGAAGAGGGGGATGAAATTAAAATATTGTATATTTGGGAAACTAAGGAAAGGTGAAAAATATCATTTAATGGAGGTGGTCTGATCTTGTGAAAATGAGTTTGTGAAAATATGCAGGAAAATGAAGGTTTACACTTAATTCTAATGAAGATAACTGCAATTATATGGCAGCATGCATCAAATGGCATCATTGGGATGTTATGAGTAGGTATAAAAGTAGGAATCCACAGATTGATTGGTATTACCAATCCCAGAGCTGAGTTTTGAGGAAACACTAGGCAACATTCTAATGCTGCAATTCAGAGGAAAAAATTAGGCAACATGAATCAATAAATGGGAACAAGATGCAGAGTACAATGAAAGTTTTGGGGCTATTTGGTGATCCCTTGAAAGGATGACTCATCTCCTTAATTTAGGTAAAGATTTATTCATACATATTATAGGGGGATCTTAATAAAATAAAAATATAAAGCAAACACTTGGCAATCTCAGGTCAATGATGTAGGAAGAGGAGTCTAACCCTGACCTGGACTTTTGCAGCAACAAGGAGAACAAATTCTACCTGCCTGATATCAGAACTGACATGACTCTCAAGCTGATGAAAATCACTTATCAGCTCTTGAGATAAAAATAAAGTATGCAGGTGTAAGGAAACTAATTGAAGAATACATGAATATTTATAATCCTGGTTTGCTATTTTTATTACAAGAAAGTTAAATATTGTTAAGTATAACTGGAAACTTGAATAGTCTGCTCATTTCTAACCATATGCCTTTTTGAAGAAGTGCCTGATATTTGATGAAATCATTGTTCATTTTTATGGAATATTTAAAGGCTTGTTTTAACTTCAATAATATACAGTATTTTAATGGCTGTTTAATGGGTAGTGTTCTGTAAGTGGGTGATGAATAGTTTTACCCATTTTTCTCATGTCTTCAATTTTGGGGGGGCTTTTTATTTTTGCATAACTTTGCTTATCACATAAAGGAAAAGCACAAAGAGTATCTAAACGCATCAGTAGCCAAAACAACCAAAATAAGCAAAAAAGCCCCAGCATTCACTTGAAGAATTTAATTCTGTAGGATATAATTATAACAGTAATGAAAACATTAAATAAGCTGAACCTATATTATATAGACTAGGCTATTTTATATCAATTCTGAATTTGAGTAAAACTTCAGACATCAAGTAACGCTTTAGGCTTTCTGTAAAGAGGATATCTTAAAGAGTATAAGAGCCCGTTAAATAATTTCAAACTAATGGCTCATTCAATGCAATTTCGGCAACGATGCTACAGTCGAGCTCTCCGTTCCTATCTAGGATGACTTCACCTGGAAATATGATACTGGGGAATTAGCCTAACTTTCTGCAAAAAACCAAAAGGGCACATACTCAAATATCAAGTTCTTCTGCCTTTGGAAGACAGCAACAATACTGGTACAAATATAAACCCCAATAATTACATGTTATAATCAGATAAAAGGCGTTACAGCAAGGGAAAATCTGAATTAACAGTTGTTTCCAAATAATTCCGTCACCGCAATCTTAAACATACTGTAGTAGACACTCCTGACTGCAAGGACACCGGTAAGCGTGGCTGTCGGGAACAACGTGGCACATGAAATCCCTCTTGCCGTCCAGTACCACTACCCCACCCTCCGCAACTGGAAGACCTGGGGAGGGGGGCGGGCGCTCCGTGAGAAAGGAACACGTCATGCCTACGCCAGCCTGTGGACGTTCGATCCCGAAGTCTGTTCGCGTTCCGAAGTGGCTTGGCTTCCTTCTCGCTCGCCGTAGTTAGCCTCAAGATGGCGGCGGCAGCTGGTGACGTGCCGGTCCGGGTTTGCAATCAGGAGATTGTCAAATTCGACCTGGAGATTAAAGCCGCCGTGCAGGTATAGTTCCCGTCGCCGTTACTCAATCATTCACGGTGTGATCGCTGGGCATTTTATTGATGAGCCCGTAACCGCCCGTCTCTCTTTTATCAATTGGCCGACCCCGCGGTACAGGTTGGTTCAGCAGCATCCCTCAACCAGCCTTGTAGTAAATAGCTAGACAGGTCAGTTTGGCTCAACTTGAAGAAGTCCGGTGCTGTTATAAATGCTGCAGATTACTTGACCTTTTCAGCGGCCCCAGGTTTGGGCAACTGCTTCTTTGGGCGCTGCCATTTGTCAGCTGTTTTGTTTTTCCTACTCTGGTGGGTGATGGTAGTCTCACAGTGGCAGCCCTCCCTCAAGTGGTTATTTTTTTAAAAAAAATGAAGAATAAATACTTGACTTAAAATGGTATAGCCACTAGTATATCACCTAGCCTTCCTGAAACTGCTGCATTTTGAGGATCCAGGTGTATGTGTGTGTGTGTTGTGCTTTTAAAGTTGAAGTAACGTTTCAGCAGAATCTCATCTGCCATCATCAGGCTTCTGTATTGTGTTCGTCTGTGAGTCAGACTTTTACAGTTGTTTCAGTTTTAAATTTGGGACTAGCCTACTGCTGTGTCAGAATGGTTTTTTCTTCATCCTGATTGGTTGGGAGTCTTGGTCTGCCAGGCATTTGGTTCTAGCAATTAGTGTTTTGGCTCACCACTGTGGGATTACCACTGTCACCCGTCATTGCAAACCTGTTCATGGAAGAATTTGAATCCAGAGCCCTGGCTAATGCCAACGACAAACCCAAACTATGGTTAAGATACATCGATGACACATTTGTGATTTGGCCCAATGGAAAAGAAAACCTAAACAATTTCCTAACACACCTAAACAGCACACATCCCAAAATCAAGTTCACCATGGAAACGGAAACAAACAAACGACTACCATTCCTAGATGTACTAATCTACAAAAAAAACAGATAGCACACTAGGACACACCATATACCAGAAGAAAACACACACCGACCGCTACCTCAACGCCCAATCCCACCACAGATAAACTCCATGGCCAAAACCCTAATTGCTAGAACCAAACGCCTGGAAGACAAGACACACATAAAGACTGAACTATGCACCCTGACTAAAGTACTGACAGCCAAAGGCTTCCACAAAAGCAAAATCACCAGCTTGATCCACAAAAACACACTGAGACCTAATGGAGACCCAGAAGACGAACAGACCTATGGAACAGCTGTCCTGCCCTACATAAGAGGTACTACAGACAAAATCAGTAAGATACTACACAGGCATCACATCAAGACTGCCTTCAAAACAGACAGAAAAATAGCAGCCATCCTTAGAAACCCCAAAGATAAAATTGACCTGGAAAACCAAAGCATATATGAAGTCCCCCATGCATCATGCCCGGCCACATACATTGGACAGACCAATAGAAGAATAAGGACCCGCCTGGATGAACACAAAAATGCAGTAAAAAAGCTGGAACACACTTCCTCACTAGTCCAACACATGAAAGCCACAGGTCATAGCATCAACTTCAATGGCACCAAAAGCCCAGCCACCATAGAAAACCCCAGCCACAGAATTATTAGAGAAGCCATAGAGATTGAAAAAAGACCTGAAAGCACGAATAGAAGAGATGATTCCACCAGACTGTCAATTATTTGGAAGTCTGCACTCACAAACAAAAAATCTCCACACCACTAGCCAGGCAAACACCTGGGCACAAACAGATCCTCCCTGATACCTCCAGCTCAAACACACCCCAACTAGGCACCCAGATGAAACCTGACTTCCTAACAAATGATAGCCATCCATTTACTCGGAGCCAAGCTGCACTAAAAACCTCCAGTACAGGAACACAATGTTGCCAGCCAATCAAGACACAAAAAAGCCATAAAACAGACAGAAGATATTAGAAACACCAATCAAGCAGAACACAGCAAACTCCAAGACCAATAAACACAGACCAAGACTCCCAACCAATCAGGGTAAAGAAAAAAACATTCTGGCACAGCAGTAGGCTGGCCCCAAATTTAAAACTGAAACAACTGTAAAAGTCTGACTCACAGATGAACACAATACAGAAGCCTGATGATGGCAGATGAGATTCTGCTGAAACGTTGCTACAATTTTAAAAGCACAACTATAATGACGTGGGAAAATACCCGAACAAAGCCGAATGCCCACACACACACACACACACACACACACACACATACATATACATATATACTTTTCCCCACACATATAATTGGTGCAAAAAGTGTTTTTTGTGTTGGTTTCATTTATGGTTTTTCCTCTTTTCCCTGGGAACTCAACATTGATGAACATTACACTCTTACTGTTTTCCCATAACAAACAACGCTGGGTTGAGAGGGTGACTAGTTCAAAGTCATCCAGTAGAATTCCATGGACTAGAATCTGGGTCTCTCCAGTCCTAGGCTGACATTAGAATTTTTCTTGTTTTTCAGGATATCCGGGATTGTGCAGGGCCTGTAAGTGCACTTGCAGAATTGAATGCCAAAGTAAAAGAAAAATTCCAGCATTTACGTCTCAGAATACAAGTGAGGAATATTGACAAAATATTAGTGATGTTTTGAAAATAAACCCATGGATGTTTTTACTAGCTTATATCTCTGACATGTTTGCACTCACCTGCATATAATTCCTTGCTGCTTGAATTGTAAAAGTTGGGTTTGTTTGTTTTTTAAAAAGCATTTAACGTTCTTGAATTTATATCTGTCAGCAAAGGTCAAAGATCACAAGTTATACAGCTTGGTTTCACCAAAGCTCATAGTAAGAATGTTGAAAATGTCATGTATTTATTTTTACTGTTATTTCACTTATGTGCATTTGAAAATCTTGTAATACATAATGCTGAATATTGATTAGATACAATCTATGCATTACAATATTACTATAAAATCTAAAAGTATGATCTCTAGTCACAGTATGTTAAAAACATATGAGGTGGATGCAGAACTTGGAAACCAGTTGTAGAGATGGAAGAGAGGGAATGTCAATGGAATAAACAAATTTACTTCAAACTGACTTTATAAAACATGCTGGAAATCTTAATAGAATGTTGACTCCTTTTTTCATATGTGGTGGCAATGTTGTAAAGTCCAACAATACTAGACAATGATTTAATTAAAATGCAGTAATGAAAGTAATCCTGTTGGGGGGCAGGGATGGGAAAAGCTAATGTCCTTTAATTAGAGGAACATCACGTTGAATCTGGTTTTGCTGGTAGTTAGCAATAGCAATAGCGCTTAGACTTCTCTACTGCTTTACAGTGCTTTACAGCCCTCTCTAAGCAGTTTACAGAGTCAGCATCTTGCCCCCAACAATCTGGGTCCTCAATTTTACCCGCCTCGGAAGGATGGAAGACTGAGTCAACCTTGATTTCCATTGTTTTCCTTTTGGTATATGTATCTATTTTCTTCATATCAGCTAGTTCTGCATCAGAATGGTCATGTCAGTTCACCTATGACTGCATAAAATATGGCCTTTAGTTTTATTCTCTTTACTAAGTAGGCAAATTGTCTTGCCCTCAAACTCCACTAAACTCTGTTCGTGCTCTGTAAATAATCTAAAAATCAAAGGTGTGTACTGACCTGTTTCCTGGGTAAGATAAGGAGAGAGATTGCATCATTCTATGGCCCTTGATCATTGATATAAAGATGGGAATGGGTATGCAATATCCCCTCTTGATATTCAAAAGATATCCAGACTGCACACTACTAATGAGAGGGATGTTCTTAGCTCCTTCATTTGAAAGTTGAAAGTAAATAACGTTTTGACAGCCCTGATCCATCTCATTTTATTCACAACCAAGGCATTGTGTATTTGTGAATTTACTAGCAATATTTCCTTTTTGAATATAGAAGTATTCATGAATCATGTGTGTTTATGGTTCTTCTTAGGAACTTGAACAGATGGCTAAGGAGCAAGATAAAGAATCAGAAAAACAAGCATTACTCCAAGAAGTAGAGAGCCATAAAAAGCAAATGCTCAGGTCAGTTAAAACTACCAAGATCAATGATGTAATATGTTTTATTAGCTGAGCCTGCAGAATAGGAAGTTTGGAATATAGGAAGCACTGAAGTTGTCCCTCACACAAGATTTGATTGATTGTATATTTCAGTTCTATACGTCCCTTTCTGTAAGCAACTCCCTACTTATTTTTAAATTAATCAAGATCCATAAGTGGTTATTATGCAAGAAGGTAATCACGTGCCTTCAATGACTTTTTGCTTTCCTTCTGTACTCCCAGATTTACTCAGAAAGCTTCTTCAACCCTATAGAGCAGATTTGGAAGGCACATGGATAGGAAGGAGAAGTTCAGTTGGACACAATCCAAGAAGGACTCATGAGGGGAAAAGTTTTAAGAAAAGTAAATAATACCCTTGTGCATGTTTGTTACACTTAGCAATTTATCAATTAAACATCAAGGTAAAATTCAGCTCTGTAAAATCGGATTGGAGAATCACGTGAAGTAACAATGGACCAGAACAGTTTGTTTGTTTGGTTGGTTTGTTTGTCTCCCTGTCAAGTATTCTAATGTTCCTTTCTCAGATAAATAAATGATGTGCCTTTCAAGCTTGAAAAGTACAGGTTTATGATAGCAGGACTGATTTTTGTTTGCCGCTGGTTCTCAACCTGTTATCCATTGGGATCTTAGAAAGCAGTATCTAGACATCTAGACATTTCCATTAAATTTGGTGGGGATTTCTTCCAACAGTGTGAGTTCTTCCTTCTTTTCACAGAAAAAAATAATTCCCTACAATACTCTTATTACTACAATCGGCTATGACTTGCAATGCAACTTTTGATCAGTTGATGGAAAAATGATAGTTTGATTCAGGCCATCCATCCAGTGTTAGAAACATAGCTATAAAGGTTGCTAAAAGTGTGGATAATTGTCATTGATTTCTGTAAGCATCCAGATATTTTCACTGTTAAACAGACCACTAATTAAGGAACACTATTTATATGGTGATAAGATATAGAGAAATAGGAAAATAAATATATAATGCAGTTTTAAATATAACAGCAATATAACATGAATGCTAATGAAATGTTAATTAAGCCAATGGCAAATTGAATGCTTTAGTTTTATGCATTCAGGTTTCTCAAGGACTTTGTATGTGTTACAAAGGTGTGTATTAATAATTTCAGCAATCAGACAGCCTGGCGTAAGGCAAACCTAGCTTGCAAAATTGCAATTGACAATTCTGAGAAAGATGATTTGCTGCGAGGAGGAGATCCTTTACGACAAAGGTATGTAATTATTCTTTCTCATTATTATGAAAAATTGGCACAGTAATACCCAGCCTCCTGCCAAATACTGTTTCAGAAATTCATTCATGTGAACCATTATAAATCTATGCTGTTGTCATTTGCAATGAGTTTTGTGAGATCCTGCTGGGAAGCCAGACAGCTGAAGTTCTCTCTTGCTGATTTCAGCTCCTGCACTTAATGTGTGCTTTCTGCTTTCTCTGCATCTTCATAAAAGAGCATCTTATCTATTTGTAGAGAATATATATATATATATATATATATATATATATATATATAGATAT